TTAAAAGATATGAAATTTTAAATTTAAAAAATAAATTATAATCTCAATTTCAAAATAAACTAGTAAAAAACTAACATATGATATTTATAATTAAAATAAAAATTAATTTTATTATTTTTAAAATAAAAATACTACAATAATTATATAATTATTATTTTTTATCCTGTGCCACGAGAACACAGGATAATAAACCCATATAAAAAATAACAAATCAAAAATATATTAATCATTGTTATTATTTTACTATATCCTCTTATAAAATGTGGAACGGGTCAATTACGCAATTCGGTGTTACTCCCTCTTTTTCACATTATTAATTGTTGTAGAGAGAAATTTTTGTTTCTAAGCAACTGACGCTTAAGTATATCAATGTCATATTAATTACATTTTTTTCCAAATTTACCCTCATCTCGTAAAATGTACTCCACCGTTTATTCATCTATCCCTTTTTTCTCATTTCCCTTTCTTTAGAAATTCATTTTTTCATTTTACCAAAAAAAAAAGAAATTCATTTTTTCTCCATTTCACCTTCTGTTCAGTGACTCAATTTCATTTTTCCTCTTTCATCTTATCTTTCTTCTGTAAAAGAATCCATTTTTCACCTTTCATCTTCTCTTTTATCTACAAGCCGACCTTAGTTTTCCTATTTCTTAATGGCGGCACCCATCGGAGAGCTTATTGTCTTTGTATTTGATTTTGAAAACAATCTTGCCTCAGCCATGGTGGATCTGATTTTGAGCCCCATCTCTCATATTTGATTGAACGATGAGAACACAATTATGAGAGGGCTTTTTAAAGGGATCCGAGGGGAAATACATTAACGCAAGGAGAGGGATGAGGACAAGAAGATGGTGGCATTTGAGAGGAGTGTAGAAGTTGTTGCCATCATGGATTGGAGAAGAGGATTTGGGAGAATCTAGTGAGGCAGAGGAGAAGATGAGGAGGCGTTGGTTGTAGTCTTGAGAACAATGAAGAATATTAAAAAAATGAGACTGACAGAAATTCATCATAAATCTAAGTTTAAACATGGAATAGAAGTGAAAAAAATGAAATGACTTGCTCGCCATGGATTTGTGCAAATATGCATAAATGCTCTCAATGTTGGCCATGAAATGACATCAAAATTGGAAACATTCAAAAAAAAAAAAAAAAAAACAACAAAAGAGAATCACTGCGATATAAAAAAAAAATCACGTTGAGAGATTATACTTAAATATGAGAAAATATTAAAAGGGTAAAATAATATTTTAAATTTATATATCTCTAAAATCAAAAAGTAATAAATTGCTTCTTTAATCGGTATATAAAAATCTAATCTGACTAATAACAAGAATAATAATATATTACTTTTTTAACCAACATAAAAAAATCTAAAACGACTAATAGAGTATCTTGGTCAAGTTCACGGTCCCTTTTATCATTGGTGCAAAATGTGGGACGAGTCAATTTCCGAATTTGGTGTTAGTATGGTGAAGTTGACCTCTTTATAGTTTTTTTCCCTTTCTTTTATGTTTTTTTCTAAAATGTACATTTAGTGTAGAAGAATATTTTTTATTATAAATTTATGTAAAA